CGGTAGGGAACCAGAAGCATCCAAAACTGTCGCAAACCGTTGATGATGAAGATCGAGAGTGGTGAAAGAATCCTGAAGAAAATAAAACGACCGGCGGTTGAAAAGACCAGTGCTGACCGGTCTGAAACCGCCCAACGAAATGCAGTGAAATGAGGGCCCTCGAAAACGGCAGCCAACGCGGAGGGGTAGAATAAGGCAAATGCTGTCCAGGTCAAATCCAGATAAAAAATGAAAACCATAAGTCGATGATGCTGCCAGATTACTCAGAGGAGAGTCATAGAGTTGGGCCGCAGGCCCACACACCTCCTAGACCACCCAAATCCCTCCATCGTCCCATAAGTGACAAAGTCGTCTTGCAGGGAGTGGTGGAACGAGCGGATGAGTGAAGGAAGCTGGCGGCAGAAGCGAGCGACTCCGGATATGGCAGGCGGCTACAGGGCAGGTCTTGAATGGAGCAGTTCGCTGATTGAAGAGTTCGGCCCCGGTCGGCGATGGCGAAATGGAATGAAGAAGCTTCTTCTTGTGCTAAATGAATGGCTGGATCGGAATTGTGTGGGTCGAGATTGCATGACCTGCATTGATCTTCATGTTCTGTCATTCCTTAGTAGCCAATGGCTTGTTGAGCTGGAGGGTCGATGCCGGATTTCCGATGTTGATGGTGAGGCGATGGTATCACCTTCGACTGTTGATGCTGTCATTAATTGCTTGAGTAGCAGCTTTCGTCTTCTTGGAAGAGATGGTTCGGAGGACCCGTGCCAGAGTAGCCGCGTGAAGGCGTTTAGAAGGGCTTATTGTGAGTATTCGTTATCAAGGGGAGTAACAGAGGAATCAGCATGGCCATTGCGATGGAAGAAGTTGAATATTATAATACAATACATGCGAAATAAGATAAGGACGTTGAAGTGGATGAGAGAGGTTGAGGCTTATCGGGATGCAACACTGTTCTTGTATTTGTGGGAGAGCTGGCAGCGGAGTGGAGAGGGATTGAGATTGCAATATAAGGAGATTGATGTGAGAAATAGGGTTGTTAGGCCGGGATACACGAAGACGGATAGACAAGGTGGTCGGTTCTTGATTCGGTTGCGGGAACCGAGCGATGAAGGGAAGACATTTTGAGGAATATTGTGTGGTTTATGAGAGATTGGGTGTCGATTTGAGGAGAGGGTATGTTTTCCGATCTGGAAGAGGGGAGGGGGCTTTGGGTGGAGGTGCGTTTTTGAAAAGGATAGAGAAGTGGTTCAAGGAAGCAGGGGTGTACGAGGGAGAGAATGGTCACAGCTTTCGCATTGGGGGGGTGCAGGTGGGGATAGAGGAAGGATGGAGCTTAGGTGAGATGATGCGGCAAGGTACGTGGAGTACGTGGAGTAGTGTGGGGACGTGCCACATGTCAGCGACTCAATCATTTATTTCTGCGCGAAATACTAGATCCATAGGTTAAGAATGTTAGAGAGGGTATACAAGACGCAGATGTTGAAGAACGATCGAACCAAAACAGCAAGATCTTGATGTGGGATCGGACGATCTCGAATCTTGCATCGTCCTTCTCCTTATTCATCCCAACCCTTGTTCCCTTCTCTTCTGCTTTCCTCCCTCCCTTTTTTCCTTTTTTTTTTTTTTTTTTTTTAACCGAAGTTGCAGAATTACGGAACCAGGATTCCAGATCCGAAAGCGAAGAGTGAGGGGAGGCAGATGGCAAGGATCTAAGAGAGAAAATAACGGCGGGGGGTTGAGGGGATGAGGAGGAAGATTGTGAGAAGATGGAGTAGAAAAGAGATGGCGAGGATAGAGAAGATTGGGTAGTCCAGATTACGACAGATTCTGGGCTTCCTTCTTTGCCTAGGGGTTCTGGGTGGCTGAGAGGGAGGGGTAAGAAGAGAGGAGGGTGGGGTTCTATGAGAAGGAGGGGAGTGGGGTTTGGTGACAAGAAAGAGCGGCGGAAGCGGGATTTGCTGCGGAGGCGAAGGGGAATCAGGTGGAGAGGATTCTTCCACTTTTGTCTTTGGAGCTCTACGCTTCCTGGACGTGGTTCGACTCTGCTGCTTGGCTGCTCTCTTCATTGCGCTCTGCTTCAGTATCTCGGAAATGGAAAGACTTGTAGCCTTGGTCGTTGGAGGAGATGACAAAACGGGGGTAGTTGGGGATGAATGCGTCCACGAATTGTACGGGCTCGACTGGAAAATACTCGAAGTGTGGAAGATTGTTGAAGGCCTTCTTCTGCGGGAAACGAAACCACAGCCCTGGTCCCCAGTCAACGAATTCTTGGAGGTGCAGATCCTGAACTGCTGAGTCGGCGAGGAAGGTGAGGAAGTCCTTCAAGAAGTTCGAAATTGGAAAAGTGAGGTATGGAGATGACGCGATGGTCGGAAGATTGGCGGCCAAAGTGAGAAGTCCCCTCTTTACTCACGGGAAGACCGATCTTGAGTTGAGGTTGGCGATGCAGATGGCAAAGCAGTAGAAGTTGGAGGCGATCTCATGCGCGTTGATCTGTTGAGAATCTGCTAAATCAAGACGAGCTCTCAGAAGTTCTCTAGGAGAGAGGGAGGAGAGCTTCCGAGAGTCTATAGAGATGAGATCGAAGAGGGTGACAGAGAAGGAGTATGATAGAAGCTCAACTGCACAGTCTCTCTTGAGAATGTAAATAGACTTGTCCTTGTTGAAGAACGTAAACTTTCGAGCATCGTAGAGGAGGTCGTCGAGGTTGAGGAGGGCGCCGTACTTGAGCTCAACCTGCTTTCTCTGAATTTGGATGAGAGAAGTAGGAATGATGAGAGGAAGTAGGTAGAGATGCGGAGGAAGGATAGTGGCTGTAGGCGGGTCGATGACGAAGAACTTTTCTAGCTGCGGGTCAGTTGTGATCGGGGGAGAAGAGGTGCTCGGACAAGGTGCGGTGATGAGGGAGGAGAAAAAGGAGATGGGGTTTTGCGGTGAGGGTGGAGATGAAGATTGGAGGAGTAGATGAACAGGAAAGTGGTGCTTGAGAAAGGGATCGTAGAGAGGTCGATGGCCAGGGGGAGGGAAATGGTAGGAGAGGGAGGGGGAGGCTGAGCGAGGTAAGGGAGAGGATGATCGAGGTTGATTTGAGAAAGAAATGGAGGGAGAGGCGATGGGTGGAGGTGAAGGGGGCACAGTGGACAGAAATGGACTACCAGATCTGCTTTCGTCATTCATCGTTTTTACTGTAGGAAAAGAGCTGGCTTACCGGACTTAAGTAGGCAGGTGGAGTTTTGACTGACCGTAAGAGACGCTGGGACCGATCTCCTGTGACTGACGCTGGGACCGACGTCCAGAGACTGACCGCTGGTGGTACCGAGGCGCGGGGTTGTTTGGAGACTTCTGAGTGGGACAGAGTGGTGCCGAGAGACAGAGTTTGGAGGAAAAAGTGGGACAGCGAGTGGGACGAAAGGCTTGGGAGGTGAGTTATCTTAGAAGTGAAAGCCGGAGGAAAGGAGTGAATCTGGTCCGCGGGCTGCAGAGTGAAACACTCTCAGCCCCTGGCCAAAATTGGCGAGTGAAAACGACCACTCATCCAAATGACCTGGCTGGCTGGCGTGACGTGACTTGCAGATTTGCATACGCTATGGGCGCTGCA